TATTGTTATTTATTTCTAAAATGCAAGACCTAATAATTAAGGCTCCAGCCTATAAAACGTCGCCGTTTTTCTAGTTTTTATAAATACATAGCAACTAAAATCACATTTAAATGTAAAAACCAGATGAAATATTAAAAAGTTGGACGATTTTAATGCTCACCGGAGGTGAAGTTCAGCGGATATGTTGTTTCTTAAAAACGGCTTTGATAATAGGTATTTGGTACACTAAGTAAAAATGTTCTGCACCCTAAAAAAACCCTGCCCTCTACCTTAATTCAAACACTGAACCCTTACCCTAAAGTTTAATTTTAGCTATAAAAAAGTTTTAGTAAAACTTTTTATAGACCATATAATAATAATTAAAAACATAACGTGGTGAATTTCTCCTCCAGTGAATACTAAATAAATTCTAAAAAATTACCTTTTTATTTATTCTACCTATATTTAAATGATCAATAAACTCGACTCTGAAGTATAATGTAACAAATGCAAACTTTAATTTAAAGAAAGGCTGAGCGAAGTGAGGCCGAGAGATATAATATAGAAAAAATGTTGTTGGGACCGAGATGGCATGTCACAATGTCCAATTAGTTTCAATTTTTTTTTGGACATATGTCCAATTGAAATTTGACAAATATTCAAAAAAAATTGAAACCAATTGGACATATATCCAAAAAAAATTGAAACCCATTGGACATTATGACATGCCATCCCCTGGTTGAAATTGTCTCTCTGAAATATGATATATAAAGTGAAACTAAACAAAGTGAGAACAAATTATTGTTTAAGCACTATTTAGTTAAAAGAGCGAAAATTCAAAATCTTAAATTTTTTGATTTTAATTAAGTAAAACAGAATTATCAACAATTGTTATCATTATATATTACTTATATTTACTTAAGAAAGTATCCAAATTAGTTCTTTGATCTAGATAATCGAATATCCACTTAGCACATCCAGATAGTTTATCTACTTATCTTTAAAATCCAAAATCTAGTGAATAAAAGTCCTGCATTGCGTTCTTCTGTTTTTGCAATAGTTATATCGATAAATCTCGCCTAAATCGTATGCCATGGCTAGAGTTGCTTTCCTTTTGTCTTGATATCCAATTTTTCTAACCGGCTTCAAACACCAATTCATTAATAGTTAACATAAAAAGTATTAATTATATACTTAAAATGAGATAAAAAAAGCTTTAGTTTTCCAGAGCGGAATGGACGACTTTACTGTTCAGACTTGTCACAGATTCCTTTTTATTATTGTAAAATTAGAATGATGTTAAATATTATACACAAAAATGTTATAAGAAACAATAATATGTTAATGTTGAGGAATAAAATTAAGAAAAAAAAAATGTAAAAAAAAAATATATTGACGGTCTAGCTTTATTTGTGTCGATAATACAACCGCATACAAAGAGAATAAAAAAAGAAAAAAATCTAAAAAATCTAATGTATATCGATATGATTGTAAAAATTCAAATGTTCTGTCAACATAAACGACGGATTAAATGATAGATTGAAAGTTAATATATAATAAATCTTTCTACAATATCTCAATTTATCATTGCAATTCACTACAAGGAAGTTCCATTTCCGAATTACATGAACAGCCGTAAGTAATAAAAACATTATTATTAGCTTTATATCCAATATAAGATAAAATAGCAAGATTTTCAATGACAGTGCCATCCGGTATTTTAAATGCCACAATTGCTTCAACGTATTTTCCAGCCGGGACTGGACACGGAACATTGTTTTTACAAATTTGCAGATTACCAGAATACACTTCAGGGACAGAGTTAGAGTTTTCAGAAGAATAATCATTAATTACTAATTCAATATAAACATTGGTATCTGTAATGATATCTTGTTCGAATACACCAGTAATATTAAGCGTAATACTCTGTCCAGCAACAAGAGGGGTAGTCGACACATTCATTGAAGGTCCGTATATTGTAGATTCATAGTTGCAACATACATCATCAGCATTGATCATAGAAAATGATAATAAAATTAATAAATAAATAAAATTTTGATTCATGATTTTTTGAAAGAACCGGAACGATATCAAGTAAAGAACCTTTGAAACTTAAATATTATCTAGATTGGATATAGTGAATGATTTTATAACCAATTAAAATTTTGATAATATTTGATAGTAACCAATTTTAGATTAGTATGTAGCCAAAATCATCTAGAATGGTATTAGTACCGGAAATGATTAATTATGATTAATTACTAAATACACCATGCGGTTTCGATCCCTAACATTTAACATTCATTGGTAAGTTCAGAATGATTAAGATTTTCGGAAGATTTTCAGAAGGTAGTTCTAAGTCATCTGCTCTTCATGCACAAATTATTTCAATTAGCATCACCAGTTCTGATTAGGACACTTTTTGTAAGGAAAACACTCAAATCTTATTAAATAAGATTTGCAGGTTTTCCAAGAAAAAAAAAGTATTTATTTATCTCATTTCAAAATACAATTTAAATTTAGACTTAAATGTTGATAAAATATTAGTGACGGATAGGGAGAACCTGCAAATCATGTTTTATAAATATTTACTTTAAAACTTTTAAAATGATTAAATTAACAATTATTATTTGAGTTGACTAAATGAGACGATTCGATTAACATTAAAATCCTTAGATATTTAATTGATGTTTTAAGATATGGGATCTTTGCTAGGAAAATCACCCTTCGACATTTTCCGATTGGATAAATTCGGATACTTATTTGCATGTAAATTATTTTTGCCTTTATTGATTCAAACGTTCATTCGATAAGCTATTGAATCAATGATTTACATGTAAATAAGTACCGGTACGTTGGTTTAAAATGTTCCGAGTTAGCCCGATCAGAAAATGTCGGAGGGCAATTTTCCTAGCAAAGATCCCATATTTCTATTAAAAGTAAGTATCAAAAAGCGAGATTTTTATCGTATAATAAATTCATTTTGACAAAATTTTTAAGTTCCTGTTATACAAATTTTATTATCCAATGAGTTCTTTCTATTGTAAAATTTTAAATAAATTTACTTAATAGTATAAAATTTTTTTAAGACCTTAATTTTAAATTTAAATTTAAACTATTTTTAAACTTTAGAAAGCGCTTTATCAAGATAAAATACAAAAATTATTAACCTGCTCAAAACTTACCAGAATCAATTTCATTATTCTATTCTGGAGACAAATCGGTAGGCTTTTATTGCATATTTAAATATTAATACTACAATATAATTTTTAATTCTAAATCTGATACTGTATAAATATTACAAATAAATTTTAAAAAATATCGGAACCCAAACCAACTCGTCGACCTAAAGGCAAATTAGCCTAGGGAGGGGGATCTTATAATTTACAATAATCTTGAGAAATATAAAGTATGCTTACATTATATATGTTTAAATGAATGTTTCTTTTTATAATTAAAAGTATTATTAGATGTCGATAATGTTATTTTAACAAATTAGTTTATAGCTTTTCATTGTGAACTGCGTCATCCCAAACTTGAATCTTACACCCATAAACGCGAATAACAGGATAATAAGAATTAAATTCACTTAATTCTTTTGTAATTGTTTTATTTAATTCATCATATTGTTTAGAAGAAAGATCTAACGTTCTTGACATTAATGGTTTTAGACTTTCTAATACTCCAATATTGTTTTCAATCGCCTGTGTATAAGAATGTTAGTGAACAAATTTAAAAAGTTATTATAATTAATGAATACAATTATTATTACCACTTTTCCAAGAGCTCCAGCTTCTTTACCAAAAAGCATATTTCTTTCTTCTTTACGAATATCTTCAAGTTCACCTTGTTCCATAGCATACTTTTGCAATTTGTAACATGAATTTGGGTCAGTGCCACGTTGCCGAAACACATCACAAGCTTTTTGTTAATAATTAAAAATAATTTATATTGTATATAATATTATGCTATAATTCGAAAAAAATATAAGATCAGATTCATATTCACCAGTTTTATAAAAAAGTTTTGAAGCAGGTCCCACTTGTTTTACCATAGGATCAAGTTCTGACATCTATTTTAATATCAATTACCAATATATATATATATATATATATATATTATATCAGTTCAATATATCAATCAATTAAATGTATCAATTAGTATGGAAAGCTTAATATAAAACATTTTGAAAAATACCTCCAAGTAACCGCCCGGTTTTAGCACTCTCACGAGTTCATTTATTACAAATGGCCATTTTGATTCCGGATATGCGGTAAACAACATCCGTTGGAATACAAAATCAAAGGTATTATCTTCAAATGATAAACCATTTAATACATTCCCTGTAACAAATTCAACGTTAAACGGTTTGATTTGTGTAGGTTGGTATGGTGACATGTCAAAACCTATGAAGTCTGCATTTGGATAAGCAGTAGCCTGATATAATTAAGAGTATCAATTGTATATGTAAGAATTTTATTTGATACTGTATCTAGTTTATTTAAAAAAAATACCATTTCAAATAACCATGTAGCTGCGCCGCATCTATTAAAACAATATATATACAAAAATTATTTCTTAAATACATTAATAATTGCGACACATCAAAATGAAATCAGATTAAAATGAAATTTCATATAGTCTAAAATAGATAAGCATAAAAAATACAAGCTTTTTGGGTTCATTTTTTAGGGATCAGATTTAGGGATCAGATTTAGGAATCAGATTTAGGAATCAGATTTAGG